TGAAAATGAACTTTACAACTTTGGTGTGGGGGGAGGATTAGGTGTGGGGGGGTGGGGGGAGGATGGGAAGAAATGGGGAAGGGGAAACAAAGGAGGAGGCTACAATGCTTGATAAGAAATGTACTCATTATCTTGCCCATTTAATTGTAACCCCTCTGTACAGTATTTTCACAATAAAAATAAATAAAATTAAAAAAAAAAACTTAGCATAAAGGGATTTGGAAGCATTTTCTCTTATGTGTGTGTGTCTCCAATGTTTAATTGTTACCTCTGTGCTTTTCACCTATCTTATAATGCCAACATATTATTTTTTTTCCATTGAATTTTTTGTATTATATTGCATAACTAAACTTTGCCACCCTACCTCTTTCTTAATAATAGATGATAGGAAGATAATTTTCTAGTTTGAATAGGCCTCCTAGGCATAGAATATGAGATTTTAGGCAATTAAAAGGAGTATATTCATTAGAACAATAGTATTTATTCTAATATTTTATTTAAACAACATATGTTTATACTCAATTTTATTCTGTTTACTAAAATTAACTCTTTATAGAAAAGAAATTAAGGTAAAGTATATCTTTTATTATAATAGGTTTGCTTGTTTTTTATTTTTCAATTTCTCTGTTTCCAAGGAATATTTATATCTCTTTATCCTATTAGCTTCAATTAGTTATGCAAGGAACACAACAAGTCCATTCATGAATACAATGTACATTGATACAGGATTATTCCATTCTTCCCTCTCTCTCAGCCCCCTACCTCTCTTTCTCCAATTTCTGTTTTTTAAATTTAATTCTATTTTATTGTGAAGGTGATGTACAGAGTAGTTACAGTTACATAAGTTAGGTGATGAGGATATTTCTTGTTAAACAGTTTTAACTCTCCCTTGTTTTTTCCCATCTTCGCTTCCCCGACTCCCCTCCCTCACAAATCGTAAATCGTAAAGACAAACAACTTCATGTCTTGTGCATATCATTGCTGCACTGGGTCACCCATTGTCCTTTGTCTCACCATTTTGTTATTTCCCCTTCCTTTCCCCAGTTCAGATAAACATATGTATGTTTATCTACCAAAATTAAAACCAAAACAAAACAAAACAAAACAGTGACAGCAGGGAATTAACAAGGGGGAAAATGAAAGAAAGAAGAAATAGCTTTACTCAGAACATTTTAATTTCACAAAGTACATTAAATAAGTAACAATAGAGTTTATACTTCTTTGTGTCTGGCTTTTATATTTTCCAAATCTTTCTATTTCGTTATGATTGGGGTGATGTCATTTTTTCTGATGGAAACATAGAATTCATTGTGTGTAATACCACAGTTTCTTGATCCATTCAGCTACTAAGGGACATCTGGATTAGTTCTAAGTCTTAGCTAAGATAAATAATGCTGCAATAAACATAGTTGTGCTGGTAACTGTAATGTGGCCTTGTTTTTGATCATCTGGGTAAATACCCAGGAGTGGGATTGCTGGATCATAGGGGAACTCTATGTTGAGTCTTTTGAGAAATCTCTTCATGTTATCCTTTTGGTTCAGATGGTTTTAAAACTCATGACATATTTGTTCACAGATTACAACTATATATAATCCCCACTCTTGAATCAGAATATGCTTCCCCCTAACAAAGAAAAGGATAGATAGATAGATAGATAGATAGGTAGATAGATAGATAGATAGACAGATAGATAGATAGATAGATAGGGGGAAAAATCTATGATTTTGAATCTCTAAAATCAGTGTAATTACAGGGCTCAGGTTTGGTTTTGTCTTGAAACTGTGTTCTATGATGATACTGGATCTGCTTTTGTATCCAAAAAGAAAAGATAGAGTGAAAATACCTATCTAAGTTGTGAACCTCTAAAGTCTGTGGGCCTACTGCGTTTTGGGTTGGTACATATTTTAAAACTGTGCTCTGATGTGGTATGGATTTGCTTTCTTTTCTAAATGCCAGAACCAGTCACAGAACCACAAGGAAAAACGGTAGTTCAAGGAACATCAACTCCCACTCAAAATGAACAGGTAAAAGAGCAGTTAATATTGAAACAAAACAACTCTACAAACACTATTGGCCAACATGCTGAATGAAAACATTGAAAGCCTGGCCGGTGGCCAGTGGCCACGCCTCTAATCCTAGCTACTCAGGAAGCTAAGATCTGAGGATCAGTTTCAAAGCCAGCTCCGGCAGGAAAGTCCGCGAGAGACTCTTATCTCCAATAAACCACGAGAAAACCAGAAGTGGTGGTGTGGCTCAAGCAGTAGAGTGCTTGACTTGAGCTGAATTGTTGAGAGATAGTGCTCAAGCCCAGAGTTCAAGCCCCACGACTGACAAAAAAAAAAAAAAAAGATTGAAAGCCTGCAAATGGCTATAAATGATCTTGATGAGGCTAACCAAAGATTAATAGTGGAATTTATGGAATGTACAAACAGAAAGCTGAATGAATTCCAACTGAGGAAAGGGAGTCCAGTGAAAATAAAGCCACTCATCTAAAGGATTTGAGAGATGAAACTAAAAATCAAGCCGGGCATCATTGTCTCCCACCTGTAATCTTACTCAGGAGGCTGAAATCTGAGGATTGCAGTTCAAAGCCAGCCCTGGCAGGAAAGTCTGGGAGACTCTTATCTCCAATAAACCACCAGAAAACCGGAAGTGGGCCGTGGCTCAAATGATAGAGCACTGGCCTTCAGCTGAAGAGCACAGGGGCAGTGCCCAAGCCCAGAGTTCAAGCCGCACGACCAACAAAAACAAACAAACAAACAAAAAAAAAAAAACCCTAAAAATCAAATAAAAGGAGTGAAGTCCATACAGGAGCTCAAACAAAGCTTCAGCAAAGAAATTGAAGCCATCAAAAATGACCAATAAGAATTCATTCCAGGTATATTTTAGATATGAGACCCTTGTCTACTATATGGCTAGTGAATATCTCCCAATCTGTGGGGTTTCTATTGATCTTGCTAGCTATGTACTTTGTCATGCAGAAGCTCTGCAGCTTCAGACAATCCCATTTGTCCAACCTTTCTGTGATTTGTTGTGTTTCTGGGTTTCTATTAAAATATCAGCCTGTGCCAAGGAGACCTAGGGTTTCTCCTATTCTGTCCTGTAATATTTTGGTGTTTGGATTGATTCTGAGGTCTTTGATCCATTTGGAGTTGACTCTGGTGCAGGGTGATATATAAGGATCTAGCTTTAGTTTTCTACAAGTGATTAACCAATTTTGCCAGCACCATTTACTGAAGATTAGATGGCTATACGTCTATGGGTTCATTTCTGGGTTTTCAATTCTATTCCATTGAGGTCTGTTCTTATGACAGTACCAAGCTTTTTTTATTTTTATGGTGAAAATTATAATTACGTGGGCAAGATAATGAGTATATTTCTTATCAAGCTACCAAGCTGTTTTATTATGGCTTTGTAGTACAGTTTGAAATTTGGTATTGGTATTCCTCCAGCACTCTTCTTTCTGTTAAGGATCATTTTTGCTATTCAGGGTCTTTTATTGTTCCATATGAATTTTTGGATTGCCTATTCTATTTCCTTGAAAAATGAGGTTGGAATATTGACAGCTATCACATTGAATTTGTAGATGGCCTTGGGAAATATTGCCACTTTCACGATGTTGATCTTTCCAATCCAGGAGCATGGGAGGTTTTTCCACTTTCTAAGTTCTGTTTTGATTTCCTTTTTCAGGTTTTTAAAGTTTTCATCATGGAGGTCTTTCACTTCTTTGGTTAGGTTAATTCCTAGGTATTTTTTTTGGTGGGGCTATTACAAATGGAGTTGCTTTCCTGATTTCAGCCACGCTTTACTCATTGTTGGCATACAGAAAAGCCATTGTTTTTTGAGGGTTAATTTTATACCCTGCTACTTTGCCAAAGTTTTGAATCAGCTTGAGTAATTTGGGAATGGAGTTCATGGGATTCTTTAAATACAAGATCATGTCATCTGCAAAGAGGGAGAGCTTTACTTCATCTTTCCCTATTTGGATCCTTTTTATGTTTGCATCTTGTCTTATTGCTGTACCTAGGCATTGTAATACTAAATTGAAGAGAAGTGGAGAGAGTGGACATCCTTGTCTTGTTCCTAAGTTGAGAGGAAATGGCTTTAGTTTTTCAACATTAAGTATAATGCTGGCTGTAGGTTTTGTCATATACAGCCTTTATTGTATTGAGGAATGTTCCATGGATTCTTAGTTTTTCTAGTACCTTCATCATAAAGGGGTGTTGGATCTCATCAAATGCTTTTTCTGCATCTATTGAGATAAGCATGTGGTTCTTATCCTTGTTCTTGTTGATGTGATGAATTTGTATATATTGAACCAGCTTTGCATCCCTGAAATGAATCCTGTTTGATAGTGGTGTATAATTTTTTTGGATGAATTGTTGAAGTCAATTGGTAAAAATTTTGTTGAGAAGTTTTGCATCGAGGTTCATCAAAGGACATATTAATAAAGTGTTTGTTGCTTTGTATGTCCCTCCCCTATGGAATAACCCCTGTTTTCACTGTATTTGATGTTGGTATAATTTGGGGAGGTGAAGGGAAAAAATTGCTTAAATAGGGATACAGTTGGTCCCATTGCAACAATGAGATGAACAAGATGCTATGTCAAGCAACGAACTTTATAACTTTGGCGAGGGGCGGGGGGGGGGGAGGGAGAAGGAGAGAGGGGGTGGGAGAGTGTAGATGTGGAAGGGAAGGGGTGGTAGGTGAAAAACAAAGGAGGCAACAATGCTTGATAAGAAACGTACTTATTACCTTGCTCATATAATTGCAATCCCTCCATAAGGTATTTTTCACAATAAAAATATTTATTAAAAATAAAAAAAGTAAAAATAAGAAAACTCACTCCAATACTCCTCACACCCTTCAATGAAATTGAAAGTGAAAGGGCCCAAACTCATTATTTGTGGTCAGCATAACACTCATCCCAAAACCATATAGAGACTTACCGAAGAAAGAGAACTATAGACAAATTTCTTTAATAAACATTATCCAAAACTTCCTAATAAAATTTTGGCCAACTGACTTCAGCAACTAATTAAAAAACTCATACACTATGACCAAAAGGGATTCATTCCAGGGATATAAAGTTGGACCAATATATGCAAGTCAATTAAAGTCATTCAACACATCAATAGGAGCAAGGACAAGAACCACATGATCATTTCAGTAGATGCAGAAAAAGCACTTGACAAGATCCAGCACCCCAATGCAACTGTGATACTCACAGACAATATATTGGAAATGAAATTTACAACTTGGTGGGGGCAGTGGGAGGGAAGTGGGAGAAAAATGAGGAAAAGGAGTAACAATGTTCAACTGAAAATGTACTCACTACCTTACAGTTGTAACTGTAACCCCTCTATATATGACCTTGACAATAATATTAAATTAAAGTAACCAAAGATGTAAGGACCTTTATGGTGAAAACTTTAAAAACTTGAAAAAAGAAATCAAAATAGATTTAAGGAAGTAGAATGACCTTCAACACTTCTGGATTGGGAGGATTAACATCTTGAAATTGGCAATATCACCAAAAGCTATCTCCAAACAATTTCAGTAAGCTTCATTGTTTCTTTTTCTAACATATGTTTATAAAGTGTGTTTAACATATTGATACTCTCACCCCTTCCTCTATTCCTTTTCCTTTCTCCCATTAGTTCTGTAGTCCAAGTCAGGACCTGTTTACATTCTTGCCCTTCTTTCTTTATTTTTTTCTTTCATGTATGATAATTGTTGAAAGGAGTTTTTATTTTGAACATGCATGTGTATTTTTGTCAAGAAAATGAAATTATTTCTCAGTCCAGAAAAATGTCAGTACTTAAACATACATACTCACACACACTCTTTCACACACACTCTCATAAATGCTGTTTATATTTGTTTTTAAGCCTCTGTAAGATGTTCAACTATACTATGTGTTTCTTTAATACTAACCTATTGACCTAATTGCTTTTGATATTTCTAAAATAAATCTTACACTGCTTCAGAGTCTTTGAATTATCAATCTGAATTAAACCTTATACTGTTGCCATCACTGCAGGCTGTTTCTAAGAAGTGAACTCAGCTCTCATATGTGCAGTTTAATGAGAAGAATACCTCCTATTATTTCATTAAATTTTTATCAATTTCTTTCCTTATTTGGTGATAAGAATTTCTAGGAGAATTTCAGTATATACTCTTTTTCTGAATATTAAACTACTTTTTTCATTTAGAGTATCCTCAAATTAAATAAGGAATAAAGCAAAACAAAATGTAAGAGAAATGATATACTTTTAATTGCAACATTGTAAATGTTGCAAAACAATAAACAGATTTCTAAATGTATCCCAGTCCCCTTGGATAAGGCTATTGTTGTCTTGCTACTGGGAAAAAGTATAAAACGATACATTTTCATAAGCTATCACTTTTCCATTCTCAAATAAAAGAATATGTTTTGTAGAGTTTTCTTAGGTCTCCAGTATATTCTCCTTTGAATATTTAATGATGCTATTTGGTTGAGAAAATAAATGCTTCCTTTCTTGTTACACATTAAAATTTCTCTGTCTCTATCTTGTTCTTCTAATTGTGTAATGATATGCAAAAGTGTATTCAACATCAATTTGTCTTGTAAAGTCTAAACCATTTTAAAACATTTACAATGTTAAGTCTTACATAAGATACATATTCAAAAATTAAACAAAAATGTATTGTCTTTTTTTTTTGTCAGTCATGGGGCCTGAACTCTGCACCTGGGAGCTATCCCTCAGCTCTTCAGCTCAAGGCTAGTGCTCTACCACTTGGGCCACAACACCCACTTCCGGCTTTTTTTGTGTATGTGGTGCTGAGGAATCAAACCCAGGGCCTCATGCATGTGAGGCAAGCACTCTACCACTGAGTCACCTTCCCAGCCCTACAATTGATCTTTGAATGACATCCACACCCACACTTGTAGAGTAATTGCTTTGGATTTGTTGTAATGGTCTACTATAGAATGATTATTAATTTAGCATTATTCATTTGATCTCTATTTTAAGAATTTTCTATATGCAGGAAATTCTTTTTGATTGATGTTTTACAAAGGCATCTGTGTAACAATTAGTTTGAATGTTCATTTTTATGTGCAAGTAACAAATTGTGTTTTTCATGTAACCGCATTATATTTTATATACCCAGAAACAAATATTTTATAAATCTTAGATGAATTTTAAAGGACAACTGGCATACATCGAGGTTACATTAAATTCTTAGAGAAGCGGATAGTAAGGGAGGTCTAATTGTTTAGGATGTGCTACAAGGTAAAGAAGTTAATCAATGGAGTCCAGAAGAGCCATTAGATGATGATACTGGCTTTACTGTACATAAAGTGAGAAGGAAAGGAAGAGTGCAGAGGCAAAGAAGGGATACATTCAAAAAGAAACAATGACAGTTCCTATGGTGAATTCTAGAAATAAACTAACCTGCCAAGACCAGTAGAGAGTCTCCATGTCAAAGTCACCCAGTAGAGCAGTCCTGTGTTTCCCAGGAGTTTCTTGGTTTAGCATTTCTGTTGTGCTCCATCAGTGGTTGATAGTAACTCAGGGGAAATGGCTTCAGTGTGAAGAGGGGTGGAAAGCAGAGTGTACAGCTGGGGCCATCACTCAATTGCACAGCTTGCAGTGGTAAATCTAAGCAAGGCAATCTTGTGTCCTCACAAGGTCTTACAAGGGAAGATCACACTTCATTCTTGAAAGTGAGACTCTAAAGAGTTGTTTAGGTCTGGGGAAGGACACTTCAGCAAAGTAGATATAGCACTAGACAAGAAGACTGAAGTGCTTGATTTGTTTTCTCTAGTTTTACTAATTTAAAATGGCAGTGAACGCCCTTGATGTTGGTTGAAATAAGTAAGAATGAAATATCAGATGCAATGACTACATAGAAGACACGGACTTTCCTACCGTTACTGGCTTTGAACGACAATCCTCAGATCACAGCCTCCTGAGTAGCTACGATTACAGGCATGAGCCACCAGCACCCTGCATCTTGCATATTTTTTAAATGAAATTCTTTGATTTAAACCTGGAACCACACATTCACAAAGCTCCATGGTTGGCTGAGTGTTCTACCACTTAAACTGTGCATCCATTATATCTCTCCACTGGTTATTTTGGAGACAGAGAGTCTCACAGATTATCTGTTCAGCCTGGTTTTCAGTTACAGTCCTCTGCATCTCAGTCTCCTGAGTAAATCTTATCGAAATAGTGAGCCATCAGCATGTAAGTGTTCAGTATAGCCTCAGATGGTGAGCCTTCTTCTCTGGTCCCCAAGCAGATGAGATGTTTACATCTTATGTGGTAATATTTTCCCACTGAATTTATTTGCAATGAGACTGTATTGTATATCTTCTTTGCTTATTGTCATAGAAGGAAACCGGTTTTTTTTTCCCCTGAAGTATTTGACTGACATTTATAAATGATTATCTAAAATGTTCTACTTCGCTAAGCTCATCTTCCATTGTTCTTTAATGAGAGAGGATAGGCTCTTGTGAAGACATATTTTTGTGTGTTTCCACTGACATTGTTAAGTTGCTATTTCAAAATCCATGGTAGGATATATAAGCAAAAGGAAAACTTTCAGATTCTGTGTCTGAGTTTACACATGTATATTTTCAGTTTCTATTTGTGTAATTCATGATATATAAAGAAAGTTTTTCTATACTACTTCCAAGAAATTGAACCACAAACTTCTATATTTATGCACATCTCCTACTAACTTTTTGTTAACTGTATTCTGTCTTTAACATTTAGATTCTAATTTTATTAGGGAAAAATAGTTATTTCTTGAATAAATTTGTGTTAAGGTTTTGTTTCTTGATTCCTTATTTGAATAAGATGGTATTTAGTGAATCATTTATGTTCTCTAATTGTCAAGCCATTCTTGTAGATTATTTGACTTTCCAAAATTAGTTCTTTAAGAGAAATATTAGAATGTTGGTATAATTTGTGGAGGGGAAGGGAAAAAAATCGTTTAAATAGGGATACAGGTGGACCCATTGCAACAATGAGATGTACAAGTCATTATGTCGAAAAACGAACTTTACAGCTTTGGGAAGGGGGGGAGGGGAGGGACATAGGGAGATAGGGAGGAGATGGGAAGGGATAGAAAGGGGAAATAAAGGAGGAGGCAACAATGCTTGATTTAAAAAAAATGTACTCATTATCTTGCCCATGCAATTGTAACTCCTCTGTACGGTATTTTCACAAAAAAAAAGAAAGAATTTTAAAAAATAAAAAGAAGAGGTTGGGGGGCTGGGAAGGTGGCTCAGTGGTAGAATGCTTGCCTTGCATGCCTGAGGCCCTGGATTCGATTCCTCAGCACCACATAAGCAAAAAGAAAAAAGCCGGAAGTGGTGCTGTGGCTCAAGTGGAAGAGCGCTAGCCTTGAGCTGAAGAGCTGAGGGACAGCACCCAGGCCCAGAGTTCAGGCCCCACGACCGGGCCAAAAAAAAAAAAAAAAAAAGAAGAGGTTGGCAATTCATTTGTACAACTATTTGAAGATAAAAATACATTTTGAAAAACAAAGGGCAATTAAGGCAATACTATAACATTGCTCATTTTTCAGAACCGTTTCTAATGTTTTAACTGCCTAAAAATTTTAATTATTTAGGTTTACCTCATTGGTTTATTTGATTATTAAGTGCTATGCATATAGCCTACTAGCTATGTTTTGCTTGCTAAAAACTCTGTGGAAGTATTACTTACATGAACATTACATGTATTAGTTAAGCATAATAATTTCTGCATCATAAAATGTGCTTCTAATATTTGTTTTATTTTAACCATCAACATTATTATAATATGTTCTTCCTTATTTATTTTAATACAAGGAAACATTCTGTTTCAGTTTTAGACTCAATGAACAGTTGTCCTCATTTTAATCTTTTAATGGTGTAATTTTTAAATATTATTCTACAAAACAGTAATGGATTGAGGTTGTTCTTAACCTGTATTTATGAGAAGTAGTCACACAAACTGTTTCTTGTGATGTTTTATTGTTTTCTTCTATTCATTTGTGTTTCACTTCATCTGCTTTGTAGACATCTGAACAACTTAATTAAACATCTTCAGCCTGACATTCAAATAGAACACTGTCCATTAGTCAAATTATTCCTATTATCAAAATACCAGGGTTCTGAATGTCTAAAACCAGATGTCATGAATGCTGAATAATTCTCGCAGGTGTAACTAATTTTCTTATATTTATAAATAATATTTTCAGAGACTTCTAAAGTGATATAAAGTGAAATATTTTAAGATAAAGATTAATTACCAATGTATCTGAAAATGTGGAGACTAAAACCTTCTAAAATTAAATTCATGTCTGTTAAATTTAAAAACAATAATGCATTTTTTGAATTGATATATTTAAGAATTCACTTCTTTTTAATTTGTGCCTTTTCTGGCACGATTGTTGAATTTTAATCATACATGATAACAATGAATATAATACCACAATACTTATATTTTATGTTTTTTAATATAATATCACAGTACTTACATTTTTATGTTTTTTATTGTGGAAATACTGTACATAGGGGTTACATGTGCAAGATAATGAGTACATTTATTGTTCAACATGGTACACTTGCATCACCAACTTCAAAACGTAGTTTGCTTGCAAGTTAAAGAATGATTCAAAAAGTCTTATCAACATCAGCCACATAATAAACATGCACTTTACAATATCATCTTACAGGTAAATTGCATTCAGTGGAAGTTCATTACAAATGTAGGTTATATCCATTATATAATATATATTATTTCCACCAGACAACAATTCAAATATTCAGCTCTAGCTTGGGTTTTCTTGTAATATGTCAGAGACTACTCACCTCTTCCTTGGATCATTGCATATTAAATTGCTCGAAAAAAGGTCTGAGGAATGTTGCATCTATATTCATTTCTATCCTGTAAAGTATATGATGTCTCAGGGCATGCCTATTGCTCATGCTTATATTGGTAGCTACTTAAGAGGCAGAGATATGAGGATCAAGGTTCAAAAGGTTCAAAGCAGCTCAGACAGGAAATGTCCATTAGACTCATTTGCAATTAACTTCCAAAAAACTGGAACTGAGCTTTAGGTCAAGGTTGGCAGAGGGTCATTCTTGAGGAGAAACAAGCGAAGGAACAGTGCCCAGGCCCTGAAATCAAGCCCTTTCTCTCTCTCTGACTGTATTGAGGGTTGAACTTAGGGCCTGGTCTTTTCCTAAGTATTTTGCTCAAGGCTGGTGCTCTATTATTTGATCCAAAGTTGCACTACCACGTTTTTCTTTCTTTTTTCCTTTTTAATGTTTAATTGGAAATTAGAATCTCACTTTCTGTCCCAGCTGGCTTTGAAATATGATCCTCAGAACTCACTTATGTAGCTAGGTTTGTGAGAGAGAAAACATATTTTCATGAACAGAATTCTTCAATTTAGTTATGATAATAGTTTATAATAATCAAGTTACAATCTTGCAATAGAAATTTTCTCAGAATGTGATTATCTAAAATGTTGCTAAGTGCATCTTTCATTGTTGTTTGGTTCTAGAGAATAAGCTCTTGTGAAGACATTTTTGTGAGTTTTTGTTGACATTGTTAAATTGCTGACTATTTCAAAATACATTGTAGGATAAATAAGCAAAAGGAAAACTTATAGAAGTCCAGTAATAAGAAAAAAACAATATATGTCAGATGGGAATTTCTTTCATTAACATGATTATGTAAATGTTTAGATTTTGTTAACAATATCTCTGTATATTACATTTAAATCCATTAGTTGCATATAACAGTGATTATTTTGTATTAATAACTAACTAAAGATTTTCTTCTGAAACACTGAGACATTTATTCAATAACGAAGAATTATTCATTTTGAGAGAAACATGTTTTTGATTTTAATTTCATTATATGATTTACTTAATTTACTTACTACTTATATCAAAACTGTTTCATTAACTTATAGTTCTAATCATTAAAATATATAATACCTAGATTAATTTCACATAAGTAAAAGATTAAACATATTTTAGAAATCCAATATGAAATATATTAAAAAAGCACTCTTTTTTTTTCTCTGAAGAAAATGTATGCTTTGGATAGTGATATTATTTTGTTGGTTGTTTTTATGTTTTTCCATTCACATATCAACCAATATTCACAAAGCACTCACAAAATATTGTGCTTACCTTCATTTACTTTACAGTAGTTTTAATAATTATATTTTTAAACTATTTCATAAAACCAAGATTTATTTTGCATTATATGCACATCCATAGTTTTATTCAGATAAACATTCAGAATATTTGAAATTGTTTTCTATTCTTTAACCTTGTTTTAATTACTTTTGCTACTGTTATGAAAACTTTGTAGCTGATTTTTAAATAATGACTGTTCTGCTAAATAATGATTCTTCTTCTATGGTATAATAACACATCAAATGGTAAGAAAATACTATCTTATTGAGTAAAGGACCTGAAAAAGCTAATTGTTATTGATTATATGAAGAAAATGTTAAAGGTAATAATACTGTACTTATATGAATTTTACATAGAACACATTAATATTTGATACTGATATGCTTTCTAGTTACCCATGAACTTAAATTTCCACTATTTCATTGCAATACTACATTCCATTGGACAAGCATTATCAGCCTTAATACTAAAGAGATCAGAGACTAGGACATTTAATCATGTCAAATCCAATACCACTTAAGAAAAAGTGTTTACTCAATTCTAAATCTAATGACTTTAAATATTTTTCTCTAAATCATGGATGCATACAATTTGAAGTTTCCTTCAAATTTTATATATTTCATTAAAAAATTATGATTTAAGAGTAAGTGCATCCAATTCCTAAGATTTAATCCATATTACCTAAGAAAACTTTATAACTATGTATTATTGTTAACATTCCAGATAAACTATGATCAAATCCTTTTAGTAATACACTAGAAAAAAATCTGTTTTCTTATACAGGCAGGAGTTCAAA